CCCCCTCTTTTATAAACCATGAAACATGATGGGTACACCTTCAAATTTGCTAAACAATACAAAGAAAAATTGAATGAACAAGTTCAAAAGTTGTTAAATTGACAAATCAAAGTAGTTACAAAAATATAACCATAAAAGTAAGGTGGGTTGATTTAATATTCTCCCATATACATACATACATATATACATACATACATATATATATTAGATATTTTTTTAGCTATGCTTATGTCTTTAGGTAAAAAAACCATGGTATAACAATTGTGGTAAAAAACTTAAATTCTTTAGTTTTTTGCTTCTTTTTATATACGACTTTTTATAAAATAAAAATTTAAGACATATACAGATACTATTTTATTTGGTTTTATTATTAAAAAATAATAAAATAAATTTAAATATTATTTATTATTATTATTATTTATAATACACATAATAGAAATATTTTGAGTTTTTTTAAAACATCTTTTTAGAATATGTGAAAAACTAAGTTTTAATTAATCTAATAAATTATGAAAATTATGATATTTAAATTATTATTATTTTATATTTTTATATATTCAAAATTTGAACTATGTAATAAAATCTTAAAATTTAACTAGAAAGATTCATTTTAAAATCTATCGCAATGTTTTTATCCAAATTTATGATCTGTATAAACCATGTCTATGCATAGTATCTAAATTAGTTTAAAAAATTAATATTTTTGTTTTTTTCAGAAAAAAAATCTATGTGACAGTATTTTTAGTATTTGATAAAGCATTGAAATTATTTTCTAGAACTTCTAAATATTTATATGATTTTTTTCTAAAATTTTAGAAGTATGTTGAATCTTTTAGAACCTATGAAATTGTCTATGAGATTTTATACAACCCTTAATAATAGATCTAAATCCTCCAAAAGTTTTAATAATCTATCAAAGTCTTCTAAGTCCTTGTATATCCTTTTAGAAGTTTTATTAAAGATTCTACATACTTAAAAGATATCTCACAACTGTTAAACTTTTCTTGGGAGGTTTTTTAAGGCCTAGTTGCAAAAGTAAAAATAAAAAGGTAAGATAATATATATCTGACTCTTGCCAATACTTTAAAACTTTCAAAGTGTTGTTTTATTTGTAGAATAGTATCTAATATTATTTCTAATTCAATGTCTAGTTTAACTTGTGGTTCTTAAACATCTACGTTCTTTCTTTGTATATTATATATATATATATATATATATATATATTGAGAGAGAGAATCTTTTATTTTATTTTATTTTTTAAAATAATATATTTTGCTTCTAAAATAACTTAAAACATTCACTTTTATATTTGATCTTATTTTATGTTCAAATAACAAAACTATATTTTCTTTTAATAAGTACCATTTAATATTAAAAAGCATAAATTTCTTTTATACAAAATTACTGATTTAGATATATTTCAAAATAAATAAATAAAAATCTTGTAAAAAAATTAATATATTTTAAGAAAACTAGATTAGCTTTATTCAAAGCACTATTACTAACTAGTTTATAAATCCAAATTATTATAGATATATATACTTAAATAGATTGAAATGGCTTAGGACAACTTGAAAGTCATGATGAAAGAAAAACGTAATGCTTAACTTAATGTTACTTGATCGAAAAACCTTAAATTTGTTTAAATACATTGTAATAAAATTAGATGAATTGCAATTAATATACTAAAGAAGAATGATAGTCTTTGACTTCTTTTTGCTAAAATTATTTAATAAAGAATTAATTAGTCTAATATCAGTATGCTAGATATATTTAGCATTACAGAATAAAGTTTTAAAATTTTTCAAAAAAATATAGATATTTGTATTCTTGCATCTTTCATCCTATACCAATGGATTTGTCTGAGTAGAATATGTGATGACACACATTTATATTAAAATTGTGCTTTTAATTTTTAAAATTTTAAAATAAGTATTTTTATCATTTTTAATATCAAATTTTACAAAAAGATTAGAAAGGACAGTAGAAAGAGGACTGAATACAAAAAATAAAACCTGTCTCAAAAAGTATGTTTTATTACAGCATAAGCTATTCAATTTTAGCAACTTAAATTTCATACATATTATAATATTAAAAGTTGTAGAAGTAAATTTTGATCCAATTTCAAAGATAATGTGTAATGTTTTTTTTTCTTAAGCTGTCAACAAAAACACCTCAAGTTAAGTCATTGCATAGATTGTTGGATATGAAAAGTAACAATTTGAAAGGTGATAAGAATAATACTGTAGATAGAAATTTTCTTGTCAAATTATTGTATTAAACTTATTTATTACCTCACAGAAATTATTTAAAAATATATATATATATATATATACAATTATCTAATGCATACTAATGCTTACTAATATAAACTGTTTATAAAAAATTAAAATTAAAAAAAAAAATTATAATGAAAATAATCAAGTTATGCATGTATTGTATTGAATCAAATTAAATTGCACAATATTGCTCTAATATAAAACAGTTAAGACTTAAACACATTAAATGATAATATGTTCTATTAAATATAATATAATATAATATATATTTATGTTAAAAACCATAGAAGTGGGTATCATTAACTTATTGCCAAAAAATAATTATTTATTATTTTATTCATGATTTTTTTCAATAACCCTTGTCTACATTAAATAGAATATAATATAGAGAATTTTAGAGTTTGAAATTAAGTTTTAGTACTTAAACTTCAAAATTTCTTGTAGATAAAATATTCTCCTTAAAATAAAATCTTATGTTTTAAAAAAAGGCTTTTGAAATACTTATTAAAGTTATCAAAAACAAACTTCTATTATTATATAATGTTATAAAGAATTTCAAAAATTGATAATGTAAATCATCTATAAGATGCTTAATTTAATTCAATCACTTAGAAAAAAAATTATTATTTTACAACAAAGATATAAAAAAAAAAAAAAAAAAAAAAAAAAAAAAAATCTTGTTGAAAGTTTGATTTAAAAAAAACTAATATGTTTTTCAGAATCAAATTACTAAATAAATAGAAGAATTTTTTTTGTATAAGATATGAACATTTCAAATATGGTTTTATGTTGTTAATATTATATACACATTTATCATCCTTTAAAATATCATAAATTGCATTTTTCAAAATCACTTGAACAACTTCGTAATTAAATATTTAGATAGTTTTTTGAAATGCTCCAATAATATAAAACATCAAGAGTATTATGGATGCTTAATCTTAAAAAAACTATAAGAATAAATATTACTTACCAAATTAGAAATACATTTCAATTGGCATAATTTTGTTGAATTGTATTATAGCAAGCAAAGCATGTTTATAAGTTTGAAGGCATATTAATTTATACAATAATTATAATAGATTTTTAAAAAACGTCTTCATAAGTATTCAATATTTAGATTATTAATAAGACTAATTGTAAACATAATGGTTTTTTATTTAATTTTTATTATATACTTTTAGGACCTACAAACCTTTGTATTGTTAAAATAAGTCATACCATTTATAATAAAAGATACATAGGTTCTAATAGTAAAATAGATTATATTCACATAGATAAACTAAGATTTTAAAGAAAAAAAATAAATATAATTTTATTTGAAAAATAAATTATCCTAAAAAGACAAATTATATTCTTATAAATGAATTTTATTGCAAATATACCAATTTAAATGAAAAATGCTTAATGATATTGATTTTAAGTTGTTTGATTAAACTAAGTTATCTAATTCTATACAACAAGATTTTTTTCAATGAAGATGCAATTGAATGTTTTTTAATAGTACATATTGTATTTACAAACTCCCATAAAATAATATATAAAATTTAAAAAATATAATTTGTAACTAATTTTAGAGAGGATTACTTCAAAATTCAAACATCAAAGTCTAATCTTTTATATTATATCATCTACTACACAAATTAACCAAATTTTAAAGCAACATATTTAATATAATTAAATTATGGATAAAACAATAATATAGATTTTTTCTATTAGCAATCTTTTTTTAAACATATATAAATAAATATATATACATGTATGTTTAGATATATATAATTATTTCTTTTATTTTTTTTGAAATAATGAAAGTTAAAAAATAAATAATAATGCAAGGATCTTCATCTAATTTAACCTGTATGTTTACAAAGAATTGTAAATTTCATTACAAATATTCCTATGAACTAAAAACAATGTGTTTAGAAAAAATAAAATATTGAGATATATAAATGATATTTAGAAAGTATCTTTAAGAAAAAATGATCCATTAAAATTCTTTTAAAAATAAAAGAGTGAGTTAAAATACATAAATAGTTTCTTATTCTTTTCACTTGCCAAGGTCTTCTAATTTAGTTAAAAATTGCAATTTTTAACTAAATTAGAATAATTTTTATAACCTTTATCATTATTTAAATATAATTAAAATAAGAATGGTCTCTCAAATACAAAATATAACTTTATTACACATAATTTTAAAAATAAATCTTTAAAAAGATGTTTGGCTACTCTAGTATAAATTTGTAATATTGACTTTAATAGTGGTGAGATCATGTAGTAACAATTCTTAAAAGACTAAAATTGAAAAGAAGTCATTTAAATAATTTTTATAACATAAAAATTAAAACTACATCTGCTGCTTAAATAGGCCTATCAAGTAGAGATCAAAGTATGACATACATTTTGTATTTCAATACACTTTTGATTAACAAATAATACATACAGATTATTAAATCTTTCTGAAAAACGTATGACTATGAAGGAGAGCAACATGCAACAATTTGAGACCATTAGTACTTATTAGAAGTTTTTGATATCTTCTAGTTATTTGTACCACTTTATATTCGTCTTTGGAAACCTAAAGAATCTTTTTGAAACTTTTGCAATTTGCAATTTTTTCGAAGTTTCTCAAACCTAGGCATGAGAGCGTGCAAAAAAACATGATGCAAGGTCATCTCTAAAGGAAGAAGAGTTGTGTGTGGAAAAAAAAAAAAAAATAAAAAATAATGTCGAAGGCGTGAGTATATTTATAGCACGGCGGATCGACACAAAAGTTCCGAATCTGTTGAAGAATGGGCCCTAACGTTCAAGCATTCCCACAGCATCTGAGTGAAGAAAATGGGCACATGTCTGAAGCTTGCAGCAAAGGAGCTTCCGTTAGCTAAACTTTACAGTGACAATTTTCACGAGGTTAGTGACTAGAATCAGCTACAGATGGCATGGAACTGTTAACATGTTGGTGAATCCCACTCTCTACATGAAATAGCTCGGAAGGGTATCGACATGGGTTCCAAAGATACGCATCAAGAGTGAGAGGTTATATAAGACCCGAGGAATGGAGAATGGGGATGACGAGGATCAGGAGTAGAATGATGAGGAGGATGATGGCAATGCAGCACCATTTTCTACTACTCCGTTGATTGTTCTTCGCAACCTGCAGGTTTTGCGCGCCTCTTGCTATGAAGGAAGACGCCTTGCCCATCTGTTGCTCGATGTCGTTCAACTGCTCTCCCTGAGCGTCGACGAGCGTGGCCATGTCCATGAAGATCTGGTGAAGCTCTAGAAGGTTTCTCTCTATGTCCTTCACTGCGTCGTGGCGTTCCTGTATTTCTTTGATCGTCTCCAGGACTTGTCCTCGGCCCTGCTCCTGAATCGCTTTCTGTAGGAATGTCTCGCTGTTTCCTGTCTCAATGATTGTCTCTATGGTCTCGTCATCTGCATGTTTTCCTGTCACTGTGTAGTACCTGCATCCCACGAGTGCGCAGTTGATGAGGTCTAACGAGTTTGGAGGGGGAATTTAAGTAAAATGAGCAACCGGAATGAATCTAGGGAGTGAAGGCATCCACCAACTCCCAGAAAAACCGATTTCGCTTGCAAAACACTGTCAAAAACTCGTGGCCCAGAAGTTCGAAACAGAAATGCGTTCATACCTGCGTTCCACCGTTTCCTTGTACTCTTCGTTCATATTCTGCCTGAGAATTTGAAACTCTCCCATCAGATCCTTGAGCTTTTTTCGAAGAGTGCTGGTGATGGATACACGCGTCCTATCGGTTGGAGTTCCTTCCTCACAGCCTCGCACTTTCCTGTTCTCGACATTGGCTTTATCAAGCTCCTCTAATTTTGATTTGATCGTTTTGGCAATCTTCGTAACTTGCTTGATGTCGTTGTCCATGCGCACCCTCAAATCTTTCATAGCCTGTGCTTTGCTAACCGTCCTACTCTCCTCGTGGGCACCTTGGACCTTGGCAAGCAATTGCTTGATTTTTTCCATCTCACTCTTAATTTTGTCCACTTCGGCAAAGAACGGGCCCATGTCTATCTCAGGACCCCCTGCCACAGACTTCTCCCCAAGCTCAACATCTCCTTTCCGTGAATCCTTCTTCAGATCCACATAGTTAGATCCCTCTCTGCCGAACGACCTCGAGAAAAGGTCGTTCATTGTGGCTACAGTTCAAAAAATCTCCTTGAAATCCACAAGTGTTCAAATCCAGAGGCTCTCGTATCAATCTGTCACTCAAAACCGAGCTTCTTCGACGTGTAGCCGCACTGCGCTACTCAGCTTGTTCCATCGACAAAATGAAGCAACCAACGATCCTGTGGTCATAAAAAAAGCACGATCTCTGTGTCCCTCCCGTCTCGCACATCGCTTCCCGAACTTCGTCAAGAGAAACAATGACACATCATCTACCTCAAATCCCGGCCGACTGCCCGCTGGCTCCCACCAAAGATCAACGCCATGAAGTAAACCTCATGCATCGCAACCACGTCTCAACAACAAATTCACTCAAGCCTCTGCACGCGACTACAAACTATAGATCTCACGGTACAGGAACTAACCGGCATTACGCAGTTGCACCAAAACGGCGGAGCCAAAACCCAAACCCACTAAAATGCAGACTCCAACTCGTAAAGATCATCCAACGCTGCGATCGACGTCGATCGGGGATCCGGTCGCAGCGTCAACAACATCAGACGCGCTCTCGCAAGAAGATCTCAAAACTATCTCGAGAAAAAGTGTCAACAAATCTCGGAGTGCAAGCCAAAACAAAGTTGCGCGACGCTACAGGTCAACGAGTGAGCAGAGCGAGAGGAGCCCAGTATGCTTGATAGGCTTGATGGGCTCCGCACGTGAAGATCAGTGCGGCACGGGGGTTGCTGATTTCCTCGAAGAGTGGCGACCGAAGCGGCCAGAATCGCAAACAGCCGAAAGCTGATGCCAATGCCAACGATAAATGTTGCAGCCGATTCATCAGCACGCGCACGGGGCACCGGCACCACCACACGCAGGCAGAGCACCGTCGCCACGCCCTCCCCGCTTGTCTTGTCCTCGGCATTCCCTCGCTCTTGTCGTACACATTCTCTCACTCTTGTGGTGGCACGAAGCCAATTGACATTGTTACAATGGGGTGTGTAAATGTAAGAAGATATGCGGGAAAATGGGTTCAAAGATTGAAGAAATCAATTGAAGTGTGTCATTGCTTAATCCATCAATGAATGTTATTTGTTAAGAAGAAAGGGAGAAGATTTGTTCAATTACAAAAACAAATATATATATATATATATAAATTAGCATCAAAAGACTTTGTGTACATGGCAAAATTCAAGTAGTGATTCTATAGATTTTTATAAAAATATGATTTTATCAATTGCTTTAGATTTTTTTTTTTTTTTTTTTTTTTCCTTCATTCAAGTTATGAAAATTGAAGATAAGAAAAATTTGGTGCAATTAATTAATATCTAAATTCATTCCATTATAAGTCAAATATATTACATTAAGTCAAGTCTTCTTTTTTATTATTCTTAAATTTAGATTTTTTTTTGCCAAATTATTTTAGAAATGCTTATGAATGTCTTTTGGATCTTTTCATAGATTTTTGAAATGTACTAAGAACCATAATAAGTTTTTTAGAAATTTTTTAAATGCTAAAAAATAAATTTTTAAATTTCAATAGGTTATAGCATTATTTTGATTTAGATGGTATAGAAATGTTGTTTTATGATAATATACTACAAAGTTATTTGACATTAAAATTATTATATTATAATTATTTAAAGTATGTAAAAATTAATTAAAATATATAATATGTTTATAAGTTTTCATATATATTAGAGTAGTTAATAGATTAATTTAAAGAAAGTTGCTATAAGAAAATTTATTTTGAAGTTTACCTATTTTTATTATCATATTTAAATTATATAGGATTTAGATATTTATTATAAAGTTTTAAGAGAAGATTGGAGCTCAAAGATGAAGATCCAAACTACTCAAGAGCTTATTTGGAAGGATAAAAGCAAGTTATGGATGGATGAAAGAAAGAAGTGAAGGTCTTCATTTCTGTTAGTTAAAGATCATACCTAATTGACTTTTAATAGATTTTTTGCAACCATAATAAAGTCTTTAGCAAGTTTAGAAGGGGTATTTGAGAATCAAAAGCAAAAATTGTAAGGTTTAGGATTTGGACTATAATTTGCATACAAAATTTATAGGGTTTAGAATTAAGGTGAGAAGATATAGTTGTTTGAAATTAAAGAATCTTTTAAGATATACTATTATTTTTTTTAGGATACAAAGAATTTTATGATAGCTTTTGGAAATCAAAAGGTGTAATTACAAAGGTAATTTTAAGACCTATGTCTTTTACAAAAGAATTTTTACATTTAGAATTTGTACGAAGAGGCTATAGGGAGTTGAAGACAATACAAGTAATTCAAAGGCAATAAGTGAACCATTTTATTGATAGTAATGGTTAGAGCCATATCTTGAGTTTTTGGATAAGTTTTTGACTCAAAACTTCTAAAGATATGAGTTATTATATAAACTTGTTGCTTTCTTATCTTGAGACTTGATTGACCAATTAGTGACAGCTAGAAGTCCAGTGCTTTCTTAAAACAAACTCTCTCTATCTCCACATATTAATGCTTCAACTAAAAGAGCCTTAAGGCACTAAGTTTTTCAACAAGTTAGGATGGAGGATAAAAATCCAAGGTTTGTATTATCAAGTGGAATAGGTGCTCTTGATTTATTCAAGGCATTTGCTCAATTTATAGAAGGAAGGCAATAGGTACATGTGGAGGATAGGAATACCACCAAAGCTTTATAAATAATGGTTGATAAGATTGAAAGATTTGATAGAATGAACATCATTAAGTTCCTAAAGATTTGCACATATAAAATAGAGGTGCATCAAGTTTCAAAAATAAAGATGATTACCACCTTTGATTTGGCTATAATAATAGTAATCATAGAAAAAATGCAAGAGTTACATACTAAAACTATATTATGGAAGAAATTTGAAGAACTCTTGAACAATGAATTTTTTAAAGAAGATTAAAAAAAAATGAAAAAAAAAATATCATATTATGTATATTCTTGCGTAAGAATGCACTAGGCACCTAATTATGGAAAATAAATAATAATACAATAACAATTCTATCAAGTCTAATAAAGCCTTAAATAAAATTTAAATAATAATTAATAATCTAATCAAACTTTAATCTGTTAAAATAAAATTTAAAAAAATAAAAAAATACAAAAAATTCTAAATAAATATTAAAAATAAAAATCTTAATATAATTCTAATTAAAACCTTAATTAAATTTTAACCAAATCCTAGGTCATACCTTAATAAAATCCTAAATTCTAGATAAATCTTAGACAAGTTCTAAATCCAATTCTAAGAAAATCCTAATCTTAACCAAATCCTAATCAAATCTTAGACCAAAACCTAAACAAAATCCTAATCAAATCCTAGATCTTAAACAAACTCTTAACAAATCCTATAGTAAAATGAAACCTTAATAATTAATGATCAAACTAATGATATCAATCTAAAATTTTTATACTTTTAAATACCTTAGTTAAAAATAAGCACAAGAAAGATGAAATAAATTGTATTTAACAATTGAAAGAAATGCAAGATAATCTAATTGGGTATTAAGCGGCCTTTTATTCCAACCTAAATGTTAAACTTCTAACAACAATATTTCCAACTTAATTGCTTTCAAATTTCACTTAAATTATTCCAAGTCTAATATCGATACAAAAAAAATCACTTCAATCCAATTGACAAATTGCTGAAAATCTTAGAAATACTCACTAATCCTCAAATTCCAATTTTTCAGACCTCAATCCACAAAAATCCTCATATACTTCAATCTAATAGCTTAATTGATTTCAAAATTTTTATACATACTTATAACTAGCACACCAACATATTATCCAAATTTTACCTATACACACACCATAAAATCAAGAAAACTTCAAATTTATAAACATATTTTTATTTCTCAAATCCTAATTCTATCAAGAATATTATTAACTTTGGAAATCTTTCAAAATCTCAATATTGACTCAAACGACATGAAACTAATGCTTAAAAAACTTTATTTAAGTTTGCTCTCAAATCCCAATTTTTTATTTACAAAGAACTCTGGAGTCACCATAGGTGCATGGCTTTGTATCTTGGAGTTTGATTTTGACCCAAGTTGACAATCGGTCCTCACTGTGTATCAATTCTTGACTTCTTGTAATAAGATTTTTTAAATTTATTCTTAACTCCTTCTTACATATTTCAATATCTTTTAATTTCTCAATCTACTTTGTTTTGTCTTACTTATGGTCCTATAAAATAAGTAGAAGCCTATTTTGTAAAAAGATATTATTAACACTTTTTAATTTTATTATCTTTTTGACTATTATCTATATTTTAAAGATAATTTTTTATAATATTTTAATATAAGATCTTCTATAATGTAATTTTTTTTATTCATTAATTTTGTTACATTATGAGATCTACCTCTTTTGAATCTGTGCATCCTTTGACATGGACCAAGTTTTTTTTAATACATTGATATAGAGATTTTTTCATCTTGGTTAAATTTTTGATCTCTAATTTGCTCCTTTTTTCCTATTTCAATGTCTCATATTAGATTTTATTCTTTATTAAAAAAAATATCTTTACTTCTTTGTTTAAATAACTTCATTTACTTACTTGTTATAGGTATCTTAATTCTATACCATCAAGTCTTTATAACAAGTATGTTCTATTGTCATATACTTGTTTGATAATAAAAGGCCCAATCCATCTCTTTGAAAACTTCTTTTTTATTCTATGTTGATTATCAAAGCAACTATCATAAACTAATATTTAATTTCCATCTTCAATTGTTTTAGATTGTAGTCAATGTTTTTTATCAAATCTTTCTTTATTCTTTTTCTTTGCTTCTTTCAACCTCTCTATTGCTACTTCAATATTAATAGGTCTTTTTTTAATTATTAAATCCATAATGCTAAAAGTTCTTATCTATTGAAATCATTCTTCTAAGGCAATATATCCTATATAAGCACTATCTCTTCTATTAGTATTATTGTTTTTTTTCCATACATTAATTGAGTAGGCAAATAATTTTTTACTAAACTATGAATTTTGCCATGAGTCCAAAACATAAATAGTAGTAGTCTAGACCATTCATATGCTTTGCCATTGCATACCTTTACTAATGCTTTAACAATAGATAAATATCTTCACATACTCTTATTATTACCTTCTAAATTATATGTTATTGTAAGAGAGATTTAATTCCTATTCTATTAAAGAATTTTTAAGCTTTCTTTGCATCTAATTTATCTCTATCAAATATAATTTTTTCAATAATTCAACTATAGCAACAAATAACATCTTTTAATAAAAAATTATCATATACTTTTAATATCTTTTGTTTTAAATACTTGTCTTTCAATCACATTCAATAAATCTTTTCATGTAAGTATTAAATACTTCATTTGTCCAAGTTCCATAGGCATTGCCACAAATCCACTATCCACTTGTAATGTGAAGCTAAAGGATATGTTGGATGCAACCTCTCTTGATGCCAAATATTTGAATATACTTGGAAAATTTTACAAGATCCTATAAAGCTTGTTATGTCTTTGTACATTCTCTTCTACTAATATTTTTTTTTAATTTGATAAATGTTGCCCAAATACCTCAATGCCCTAGTAATAAATTTTTATGAAATTATTTAATAATAATTTTTTGAGCTTCTAAATACCATATAATCCATTGTAATACTTCTCTTCTTTGCTTTAAATGCTTTCATAAAGATCCATCATGTAAAAAATATCTATAGGCTTTTTTATAATATAACAATATATATTTTTATATTTGGAAATGCATTGGACACCTACTTAT